CGGAGTTTGGATTCTCCTAGCTGCCAGTTGTATCCTGTCACAAGTTGTGGTGGAAGCTGTCAGACTATCTGAGTGAGTACAGTGCAACTCATTTGGTTTTGGCTTGTGAACTGTTTTTACAAAATTTTGTCTTTTAGTGTCTAAAAGTTTGACTTTAGATGCTAGTAGCAGTAAATTTGAGGCTTTCATGAGTTTAAGATCGGTTTAAACATGCTTTTCAAAACTGAATGTTTAATGTCCACAGAAATTTCAGAAATAATATTTCAAAACTTATTGGAAATGTGAGCATAAACGTGTATATACAGTGGTGGCCAAAATTATTAGAACTAGTATTTTCACCAGCTAAAAAATGGTTTTAGGTCAGTTATTTTTATTGCTGTAGTATGTCAGTAGGAAATATCAGTTTACATTTCCAAACATTCATTTTGCCATTAACTGTAATAATCCAGTGAGATTTCTGTTTGCACAAGGAGTCTGACAACAGCCAGTGCTCCACACAGAGATGTCATTCCAGACAGACTGGATGATGAAGAGGTCAGATCTCTGTGTGGAACATTGTCAGACTTCTTGTGCGAACAAAAATCTCACTGGATTATTACAATTAATGGCAAAATGAATGTTTGAAAATGTAAACTGATATTTCCTTCTGACACACTATAGCAAAAGATAGAAATAACTGACTCAAAACCATTTTTTTAGCTGGTGAAAATACTAGTGTTCTAATCATTTTTGCCACCACTGTGTGTGTGTGTGTGTGTGTGTGTGTGTGTGTATATATATATATATATATATATATATAGTAGGGACATTGTAAAGACATTTATGTCCTTGAAAAGTTTTAACTGCAGGTGGTTCATTAATTCATAAATGTGGTTATTTTTAGAACAAACTAAAAAATAACAATAATTTTAAAACCAGTTAGCACTGAAAGAATGTACACTCTCAGAAAAAAGGTCCAAAAGCTGTCAATGGGGTGGTACTTTTTTTTTTTAAAGCTACACTTTTGTACCTTATTTACCCCTAAAGGGTTTATATTAGTACCAAAAGTTTAAATATTAGTACCTAAATGGAACATATTAGTATCTTTTGAAAGCGTACTACCCCAGTGACAGCTTTTGTACAATTTTTTTCTAAAAGTGTACTGCAAGCTTGTTTTGTTTGTAACTTTGAGAGAACCTTAGAACAATCTTTCTGTCATTCCAAGTGCACATTTTTTGGCATACTATGTGTTTGACTGCCTCTAAATAACAAAAATCACCATTTCAAGTGTGACGTTATCTAATGCATTCCAAAGACACAAAGGCAGTTTTACCTGAGTTGAAATCAAAGCATTAATCACGCTTTCGGCACGTTATAGAGCCTGTTGATACATCTCTTATGGTCTATGAGATCCACAGATGGATCAAAGCCTTGGGCTGCCTCTGGTGCTGTTGTCATGACTGCGTTATGCTGTTCCAGCCGATCAGTCTTCACATTTGTTCAGAGCTACTGGAGCTGGCGTGGGCATGTGGATCATAAATGAGGCCTGCAATTGTGAGAAGTGTTACAGTTAGGCAGTCAAGAACCACAAAACGTCCAACAAACGGTGTAGCTGTCACTTTCAATGAGAATTACAAATAAGAGGATTTAGTGGTGAAAAGCACCTGTCTGCATGGATTAAATTATGATCCTGTCAGATGGGACTCAGTGTGAGAGTGACATGGATTTTAATGCACAGCAAACCACTAAAGTACATTGGAAACAGGTGAAAAGTCTGTGATTGGTTCAATGCTGATCTCCCCTCAGGGTAGCAGAGAGCTTGGTTATTTGCAGGTAACCTGAATGAATCTGTTTGCAGCTTTGGAAGTAGCTTGTGAAATTGCTTGTCGGTTTAATTATCATGCTCATTTTCCCTATGTTTAAATTTAAATGACCTTTGCCATCCGCTCACTTAAAGATATCTGTAAAACCACTAATTGAATAATACTGAATATCCAGCTTCCATACTGTACATTACAACATGCCTCAGTTTACCTGATTTATTCCGGAGCTCCTCCGTGGGACTCGAGACCGGTGAGTGGCGCAGGTGTCGCTCATTACCATTCCCTCCCCCGGCCTCGGTCCATTCCCACGGCTCTCGGCCCCGCCCCACTCGTTACATACCCCCATTGCCCCTCGCAGGCTGGGGGGTACCCACGAGACTGCGCTCTACTCCCCCCGCCGGGAGCCCCGTAACGGCGGCCACAGCACCTGGGGGTATGGACAGACGAGGCGAGAGAAAAGGAGATGGAAGGATGAGGAGAGACAGAGACGAGAGAGGGAAGAGAGGAGAAAAAAAAATTCCTGTTCCGGTTCCCAGACACACTGTTGCTCAGCCCTCCACCAGCTGGGTAAACTCTTTCGCTGGATAGCCCTCGGTGGGTGGCTGGCCCGACGGCTGGTCGTCGCCGTCTACTTTTATTAGATTCTACAATTTGGACGTCCCTGCCCTGCAGGCTTCTTATCTGCTTAATATTTACTTATGTCAAGCAGACCTCAGAATGTTCTCGGGTCTCTTTGTGGCTCAGGCTTATGGAGCCCTCACTGAGTGTTCCTGGGCTGGGCTCGCGGAGCAGGCTTAGTTCTGCATCTGCTTATAGCACGGCGCTACTGGATGCGTTCCCCATACAGTCGTCAATGACAACGCAACGGGAGTTACCTTTCAATAGGGAACGCTCTGGTTACTCACGTAACCTTGGTTCCCTGAGATAAGGCAACGAGCGTTGCGTAACTGGCCGTGCTATAGCTGCACGCGAATCGATGGCTATCGCTTCAGTCGTTGATTCTGATGAAATGGTGCACCGGGCCAACTTATAGCAGTCGGCTCTGCCTCCTCTGGTGGGCTCGAGCGCCATTGGTTTGTGCATCTACACAAATGTTAACAAATCAGGCTTCAGTAACAGAGTAAACAGGAGTTTCCCCATACAGTCGTCAATGATGACGCAACGCTCATTCCCTTATCTCAGGGAACCGAGGTTATGTGAGTAACCGGAGCTTTATCGTTCTTGATGAGAACTGTGGCCTTTTGCACGAAGCGAGATGAACAAACTCAGAGTTTCAAAGTAGGTTTAGAGTTGAAAAAACCAAACAAATCCAACCTGAGTTAGATCAGGATCAACGGGCTCACAAAGCTCGATATAAACATTCTCTGTCAACTGTTTGAACCAGAGTTTGTGATTAACTCTGGAGCACTTGCACCTGAAAGTGTGACGTGTGACGTGTGATGTGTGCAGCAAGCAGCCGAACACACGGAATTTGGAGAGCATCAGAAAAGTGTCAGTTGGATTCACTTCTCGCGAGAGTCAGCGCAATTCACTTTTCTGCTGAAGATTAAGAGATGTCGTTATTAAAAATACATTTAAATGCATTTACAAGGCAGGAATAAACATTTCTACTGCAGCAAAAGTTTGAGAAGGCAGCAGAAAGAAAATATATGACTGCAAAGGAATCAACTGAATATAATTATTTATAGTTTCACACAGAGCTCAAGAGGAAAACAAGAAAAAAGTTTAGTCATTTTAAAAGTTGGATATATTAAAGCTTATCTATATGTATCTATATTTTTTTTATTTAATTTAAATGCAAAGCTTAAAATTAATTGCCGCGTCATATAATAATTATTTGAATATATTATATGAATTATAAACAATTATAATTAATATAATAATATAATAAATATGTAGCCACAAAAGTCAGGCAATTTTGTCTCTAAAATTCTAACTGCTTTAATTTGGAGCTAGAGATACAGGGGAGTGGCTTCACTGCATCAGATATATGTCACTTTGCTCACAGCTGATTGGTCCAGTTTGGGTTTGCAATCTCTAACCCAGAATAAAACCTGCTCCACAGCAGGGTAAGTTACCATGGTGATGAAACCCGCTCAAAAAACCAACCCATCTTCTTGAGCCCGAAAACTCAGAGTTTGCTCAAACTAAACTCAAACTTACCTGGGTAAAAGCTATAGACTGTATAAAAAAGGTAAAAACTGAAACCGGCTTCATGCTACAGGCCACTGCTACCTCCACACACTCGGTTAGTGTCTACAAACGTGACAACCGCATATATAACCGAATTGACTCACAACTACAGTTTCGGTAAACCTGTGCTGTAAACACAACGGCACCGAACAACTTACCTGTCATGTCATAAAATGCGACGCATCTCCGCTGCACGCGCATTTTGTGTTGAGTGTTGTGTTGTGTTTCGTGGTTACAGTAACTCACACAGTCGGAAATATAAACTGTATCATCCGTAGGTTTTAGATCAAGTCACTGTCCTTGGCTGCTCCCAGCAGTGTTGTCGTCCAAATGCTGCACTTATAATTCAATAAAATGCACTGAAAGCAGTTAATTCAGATTTGACAAATGAAATCACGGCGGCGGCATCATATTTACTTTAAGCACGTTGTCATGGTTACATGTTTTATTTGCAGCTTTCGTGAGAATCGAAAATAGGAGTCACACCAGTTCGTTCATACAGTAGTGGCTGGAATATAAGTTGTATGAACAGGACAGTTTGAGAGTCACACCCATTGGCGTAATTTTGTCTTAAAAATGGTGGTGACATTATGGGGTACTTCTTATTAGAACATCTGCTTTAAATATTCATGATAAAACCTAAAATTATAAATTATTGTAACTCCATATATAATATTCAAGTGCTTTTATGAGCAGCAGCAACAAAATTGACTTGGTGGGGACGTGTCCCACCCGTCCTACCCGCAAATTATGATCACACCGGCTATTGAATACGGTTGTCAATCCCAAACATTCACTGAACAGAGACCACAGTGAAACTACGTCCAGCAAAAGAGTGATCTGTGTACAGTAGGCCTATGTGTAAGTTTTACAACCCTAAAATATAAGATGCTGTCAAGTTCCGAACCTTTTCACAATGACATGTCCTCTACTACTGCTACTCACTGTCAGCAGTGTAAAAAAAGGCTTCCAATGATGGACATGTTGCTGTTCTGTCTTTCTCAGCTGGAGGGGAGTGTGAAGGATTGACAGTAAACGTGGATCCGGCACAGGCAGGCGGAGGCCCCCCATGGAGAAGGAGCAGGGAAGCGTGGCCTCTAGTGCCAATGTCAACATCCCCAGCACCACCTCAGCCTCCACCGGCAGCAACACTACAACAAACTCCTCCAGCAGACAGCAGGCTGTGCCTCAGATATCAGTATATGGAGGAATCACAGACAGACAGACTGTTCAGGTAGAAATAAACCTCAGTCACAGTCAGTCCTTCGTTGTGCCCCTAAAATTGCATTATCCTCTGGCTCCATCTACAGGCCATGTGCAGCAAGTACTTCTAAAATTCATCAGCGTGAGGGTCTCATTCATCATTAATGTGGTGTTCTTTTTTAGTCATGTGTAATTAGGTTTGTTGTTTTATTTATTAGTTTATTGCCATAAAATAGATCCTTAACTATCCTGAATGATAGTCCAGAACTCCTCTATGATTCAGAGTGAGTCGACAGCTGACCAGCAGTGATTAGCTGCACAGAACAGGATCTCTGAAATGAATGGTAGTATGCGGTAACACTGAGCACATGGTCAGTAAGGATCCAGCTGGATTTATTCAAGAGAGCTCAACATTTGGCAGTTCACAGGGTAAAATCGGTTTTCTTTTGGCAGTATATGTACATTGTTAAACATGTTGATATTATATAAGAAACTGTGAGACACATAATCTTGCTTCTTAATAAGAATGTGAATGTTTTGAGTTGACCATTTTCTTTTGTAGATTTGCTTTAAGGATATCTATCCTTATCTGACTTAAGGAACAATCATTTTTATTATGTATTTTAGTGTTTATTTCCTTATTTCCTCAGTCAAATTAAGCTCATCCCTTTAAATACATTGCAGAAATTAAAATTGTTATATATTATGTAATATTAATATTTTTATTTTATACAAATTGTTTAAAATATTACTATTATAAAATTATTATGGTAACACGTTTGGTAGCAATAAATTTCCCCTTTTTAACATTAGTAAATGCATTTGCTAACATGAACTAACAATGAGCAATACATTTTTACAGTATTTCTTAATCTTTATTAATGTTAGTTAATGCAAAAATAGTTCATGTTGGTTCACAGTGCATTAACTAATGGTAACATATACAACTTTTGATTATAGATATGTTTTAGTAAAAGCTGAAATTAAGATGAACTAAGATTAATAAACGCTGTAGAAGTATAGTTCATTGTTAGTTGATGTTAAACAATGCAGTTAACTAATGTTAACAAATGAGGTCTTATTGTAAAATGTTAGCATAATTATTAAAATAATAAATATATTAAAATAATATTAATTAAGGATGAGATATGAACACATATACAAGTGGAAAACAAGACAAAATACTGATTTAGAAAATGATTTGTCGCCACGCAAAAACAATTACCTGTTACCAAGTTTCGATTATTTGTTTATTAAACACTTTTATCCAAATGACTAACTAATTTAAGTGATAGCTCAAACAGAGAGAGAGAAAAAAATAAAAGCAGTGGTTTTCATTTTCATAACACACGCTCACACACACACAAAAAGATATCCAGTGGTTGACAGTCCAGTGATTGCCCTGAGGACAGTATGTACAGATCATGTTAGGTGGGATACTTTAGCTGTGAAGGGAATGTAGTCATGCCATATCAGTGCACCCAGCGACCCTCTGTGTTTACAAAGAAATCACTCTGGTCTTCTTTCTGCATAGAACATTATGTGCTGGATACACATTATACAACACAAAATGTTTTTCTTTACGCTTCTGTGGTATGAAACACACCATGAATAACATATCCCCTAAAGGACTTAGTAGCCTAGGGGCAGAACAATATTCACATGTTCATTTAATAATCCCATCCCATCTCATCTTACTCAGGTCATCCAGCAGGCCTTGAACAGGCAGCCCAGCACAGCGGCAGTTCACTATCTACAGCAGATGTATGCAGCTCAACAACAACACCTCATGCTACAGACCGCAGCACTACAGCAACAGCACCTGAGCCTGGCTGCAGTGCAGCAGGTGGGCACACACCTCATAGACATATACCGTGGGATCCGGAAGCCATTGAAAATAGTTTGCTTTTAGTTTGCCTAGTCTACTTGAGCTGCATGAACTCCACACGTTTGTGTAAAACCTGATCATCATGTTCTCCAGCATGATTTGAGAATGATGCTCTTTGATCTTGAGCTTCAGTAGAAGAACATCTGACCATCTGCACAATAAATTCATGTCACAAATTTGATTAATGATTTAGAAATAGGCCTGTATCTTAAATGTTACTTAATAAATTTATGCCATAACATTTCTTTTTCATATATTTTTCAAACTCCTAAATCTTCATATTTTCAGATTTAAATTAGATTTTGAATCAGACTTTTGGACTCCACTGTACAGCAACATAAGCATCCATTAAATGCTTGCTAAAGTTTATTGGCGATGTGTAACACATGCTGGTATTTCTTTTACTCAAAATTATTCTCTGATCTAACAAACTAATTCTTGTTCTAATATTTGATCAGCTCAGACAAGATTTTTCTTGTTTGTCTCTCCTTAAGGTGTTTCATTCGTTAAGATGAAAGAAATAGTTTGTTCAGTGATTACTCAACATGCACAATCATGCTCTTATTCAGGTAGTGCTTTACTGTATGTGAAGATAGTGAGGTAGTGATTAAAATACAATACTGTGTGATGATAAAAGCATAAGGTCACATAAGGTCTAATGAAAATCACTCAGGGCTCTTTATGAATTGTGCAGTCAGTAACTCATGTACAGGGTCAATAATAGGTAGAAATAAAGTGCTAAAGTCAGCTAAGCCATAGCTAAGCATGTGATTGAGTCATTTAATCATTTTTATATTTTTAACCAGCTTTTGAAATTTTGATAATATCATACACATTTCATTAAATGTTTAAGAAGACACAAACCAATTATTACAACAAAACATCACAGAATTCATCAAATCCAATGTCAGTATTGAGGATTGTGCTGTTATTTTCACACCAAAATCATGTGAGTTCTTGGATGATGATAATGTCATTAAGAAACTAGTTAAAGGAATATTGCATAAGGATGGAAAGTGAGATTGGGAGCAAAAATTATTACCAATCTGAACAATATTTCAAATAAAGCATGTTTTGGTTAAAACATTTTGATTAGCGAAATGAAAAAAAGAAGAAACATCTTTTATATTTCCCAATAAATTGCCAGTTATTCTTGTTAGTTATTTAGAAATGCATATGGTTAAAATGGCAATATTCAATCAAATCAAAACTAGTGAAATTATTTAAAAATCATATATTCAATTCATTTTATATGTAAAAAAAAGTTTGTGTTTGATTCAATATTTAATGGACACGTGAAAATGTACTGCTGAATATTAAAAATGGCTTAATACCTACACTAAAAAATTTGGTGGTGAGACAATTTTGATTCAGAAATTGCTAGTAAATTTCACAAATAATAACAAAGAAATGGCAAGTAAAACATTAAATTAAACATAAAAATGTTGAAGTGGAAAAACGTAAATAGTATTTTCTGGTAAAACATAATTTGTTTGAAAGCAATTAACTAATAATGACCCTTTTTATATTTATAGAGATTAAAAATATTTTGGTTCACAAAATGGAAATAACTTAAAGCAGAAAGTTATTTTTTACTTAAAGCAAGTAAAGCAGAGTTGAATGTACTGTGTGGTTGTAGTGTTGAGTGGCAGGCTGTTCACACTGTTCTGTGGGAATGAGGGATCTGTTTCCTGCCCCTCTCTCTCTCCTTCCTTCTCTATGCTCTGTGCTGTTGTTATTGATTAATGAGTGCTGGGTTTGACTTGTGACCTGTCTCTGTGTCTTTCCTTCTTTTACTGTCTTTCTCTTTTTCTCTGGCATTCATTCATTCCCCATAGGCTAGTCTAATGGCAGGAAGGCAAAGCTGTAGTCAGAATGGCACTACATCCCAGCAGACTGTGGCCTCCCAAACCACTGTAAGTATTATTAAACCTGACATTGATATCTCTCTCAACAAGTCTCCAGTGCTACAGAAAAAAATGGTAGTGGATATTACTTACAGTCAACCGCTTTTTTACCTGGCAGGTTCCTTAATGTTTGGCAGATTGTGATTATTTGTAATGTTTTGGTTGAGATTGTGATTAATTATTTTGACTACACAGCTTTCAGAAGATAAAAGTATATGTTGTTAAGATTTTTCCTTGTTGAAACAGATAAACCTCGCCACATCCCCAGCGGCAGCTCATTTGATCAGTCGAGCCCAGAGCGGGAGCTCTGTTCCAGTCTGCATCGCCCAACAGGCTGTGCTGCTGGGAAACTCCTCCACACCCACACTCACCGCCAGCCAGGCACAGATGTATTTACGAGCTCAGATGGTAAATCCTCTTACACACACCCAACCACATGTACAAATGTGCAGTCTAAATAAAGACATACCACTGTTTTTTACATAATTCTTATTAAAATGACCACAGGTAAAGCAAAACCCATTTTATTTCATTTTAATTTATTATTTTTGCACCAGTATGATGCAATTTCCTGGAGGATGGTGTCATTAAGAAACTAGTGATAGGAATATTGAAAAAGGATGTTAATATCTATAAAACAATAAAACATTTGAAACTATTACTACTATTAATAATGTTAATTATTATTACTACTACTACTACTACTACTACTACTACATATTATTATTGACAGTATTTCCAAATGAATTAAAACTGGTTTTGTTGAAAATATTTTGATTAAAAAAATGGAAAAAAGAAGAGACATTCTTATTATAATGACCAGAGATTAACCATTTTATTTTATTTTTTTCCCACCAATACGATGCCATTTCCTGGACGATGATATCATTAAGAAACTAGTGACAGGAATATTGTAAAAGGATGTTAAATTATATAGAGAACATTGTGAATATCTATAAAACTATAAAATTACTAATTATTTCTACTGTTAATAATATAAATTATTGTTGCTACAAATTACTATTAACAATATTTCAAAAAGACTTAAAACTTGTTTTGTTTAAAATATTTTGATTAGAGAAATGGTAAAAAAAAAAAAAAAAACAAGACGAAGAGGAAGAGACACTGGTAATATATTAACAAATTGCCAGAATTTCAATTCAATCACAAACCAAAATTGCTGAAATTATTTAAAATTCACCTGTACATTCATTTAATCATGATATTGTGACATTTCATACAGTTTCCCTCTTTAAAAAGTTTATATTTTACTCAATTTATTAAATAAGAATGTCCCTAAATGTGCCTAAAAGGAGGTTTTGTCATGTTTAGCTAACTTCTGGTTGCAAATTTGGCATTAAAGTATAGCAAGTAAATCCATACACCCCATGTGTAATTGTGGAGTGGTCGTATTTCAAATCCTATATATAAATGGATCATTTTGGTCCCCCCTAATGGCTGCGCTCACTGTAGCGTGGGTTATGCCAAGTCAAACGCAATGCTACTAGACAGTCTTCTCCAAGATTTATCCTCATGAATAAATAGTAATTTTCTTGCAAATGGAAAAAATAATTGGCATCTGACTTCATTTTACAGTGGCCTGCTTATACTTCTTTTCCTGGATTGTCTGTGTGTGTGTGTGTGTGTGTGTGTGTTTGTAGTATTCATACTTGCCATCTTACAACATCTTTTTCATTTGGCCTTGGATAGTAAACGTGGCACAGCTGCAGCTCTTCAATAAGGATGCTGACAAAAGTGTTTTCACTGGCACATCAACTCTATTTTTTCAAATACGTTTTTTGGCTAGGAACTGATTAAATGAGCTGTTTGAGATCTGCCAGAATTTGAAATGCAGTCCTTTCAGCACTGTAACAGCTGAAATGGCTCAAGTGCTCTCTCTGATGTCAAATCTGATAGCCTGGGTTTGTTATATAAATGTGACTCATACATTCGGATGAAGCAGCCATTTTTCGTGTGATTTCCAGGCACAGCAAACCAATCTTGTGCAAGTAGCAAGGAGCCTAGGACGAGCTGTTCCTTTGTCTCCTCAGCTTATCTTCACCCCAACTGCCTCAGTCACCGCACTTCAGCCGGAGACCTCTGCTCTGTCAATCAACACGCCACCCACCAGCAGACAGGTAACCCTAACATACACCAGCCTGACTTACATCTATACCAATATGTGCTGTTTTTTGAATGCCACACCCAAGTCACTTCTGTCTTTCTCCACTCAGGTGCAGAACTTGGCTATTCGTGGCCAGCAGGGGGCGCTGACTTCCTCCCTCTCTCAGTCTCAATTACAGAGCCTGAGTGTGAAACAGTGTCCCGGGACATCAGCGCAGCTCTCTGTGACTAGCCAACCAGTGGCCCGACTCAAGAGTCCTGGAGCGGAGCTGAACTCTCAGGGAGCTGCTGCAAAGAGCAGTCCTGCAGAAACGTCCTCAGAGACTGTGGGAAAAAACAACAAAACCAGTGACCTCACAACAAGGGAGCTTAACGTGTGTCCCAATGTGACCTCAGTGGCGGGCCATCCTCTCATCAGCACAGGTAAGCCATCACAGTCCGGATGCTGTCTTCACATGCAGATCCAGTGAAAGTGTAGCGTCTCAATTGTCTTACTAATGGAGGAGTGAAAGCAAAAAGAAAAGCTCAAGTGCGAGGGCCATCTGGCCTTGAGCATTAAACAGGGTGTCGGGTTGCTGTGGCAGAGGACTTGAGGAGCACACTGGGCGGCAGTGTTTCACGATAACACACCTGCTATGTGTGTATTTGTGGCTGGTGGGATTCTCTATTTGTTTGCGCTGAAAGGATATCCTTTATCACTGAGACAGATGCACAACCTTTTTGGTACAACAACACAATTTCCCCCACATAAAGTGAGATGCTCATAAACTGACCCCTAAATTACTGACATTCAATTAGTGATATACATTAACAGTATTTAATATAAGCAATTAGTGAGTCATTATACCCATGGATGCACAACATATTGGTGTCATATCAGTTACTGTCTGATATTAGAGATTTTTTTATTTTATTTTACATTTAAATGACAATTGTTTGCTGTCATCTAACTTCCTTAAATTTAATCTTTTAAAACAAAATAATCTATATCAGTTTATATCATGTATTAGATGTCTAAATTAATTTTTTTAGTCTTTGAAATGACTGATTTTAGTTTATGTTTTGATTATAATTTATTTAGATTAAATAGTATATTATTTTATTAATGTCATTTTATTATAATGTTTTAACCATAGACTTTTAGAGGCTGACCAAAGCTCATCCTGATTTTCATTGCATAAAAACGACCAACTCTTTCTACTGGTCTGCATGTATGAAACACATAGAGAAATAGGAATATGAAGGTCTTTGTACATTCTAAGAAATGTCCATAAGAATACAGCCCAATGTACTGTGTTAATATGAAGGGATTTTTCTTATGGATTTTTCAGTGTGTTTTTTACCTGTATTTGAATCATGCATTGCATTGCGTCGTGTTTCAGCGACAGCGTTATCCATAAACTTAACGGAAAACATGGAAACTTGAAATTTCTGCCAGGACATTATAGGTTTTTCTGATTTTTTTTTTCCATACAGTGTAAGCATATATGCTTGCTTACACACACACACACACACACACACACACACACACACGTGTGTGTGTGTGTGTGTGTGTAAGCAAGCATATATGCTTACACTGTATGGAAAAAAAAAATCAGAAAAACCTATAATGTCCTGGCAGAAATTTTACACACACACACACACACACACACACACACATACATACATACATTGTGGAATGAAAAAAAATGCAGGATCTAAGTATCTCAAATTAAAACCAGTTAACCTTATAAAAAATGCATCTTGAAGACCGCTGTGTTCTGATTTATTCTAATCCTTTTTTGCACACAAAAACATCCTGTGTCCTGTGTAAACGGCTCATAAGAAAGATACTTTTTTAACGTTGCATCAAGAGATTTCCCTTCTTGTTTTTGCATTTGTCCATTACTCTCACAACACATCATCCATCACAGACATAGTAATAGCAACAAGCCACACTCAGAACAAGCAAACCCTTCAGTAGAGCCACTCTAAATCTGATACAAATGGAAACCACAAGCGGGCTAATGTGTTATTTGTGGGTGTGGGTTTCTGTGCATGTGGTAAGGTCCTGACCATTTCCTGTCATGAAAGCTTAACAGAGAGGGTTCAAGCACCAATATACACACAGAAATACTAGAGACAAAGCCAGAGAAACCACTTTAGCCATGAGAAGGGTCAGTACTTACTGGCAACACCAGCCATTAGTATATTTTGCTTTACACACTTTGCTTAAATGAGTTTCATGCACCTACAAATAGCATTATGATAAGTGAATTCAGCGCTGTTTAAACATCAGCCAAGTTCTAGTAGTTCCTAAAAGAAGACCCGTTATTATGAGAAATCTTGGTGGAAACACTATATTTAGAGAGGAAAAGACTATGGAGAAACCAATTGGTAAATGTAAATGGTGTGTTGAATGGCTCACCCTCCCATTGCCCATGTTTTCTTCATAAGGAATTCATTAGACATGAAAAGCATATAGCCAGGAGCATGAAACTCAAAGTATTTGGACCACGACTGGAGAGAAACCTATAAGTAAGACCAGACATTTCTTGGAATGACCACTGCAGAATTGAAGTGTTGGGTCTTCATGAAGCATTTTGATCAGGGCTGAAATTGTGGACCCACAGATTCTTTGATCTGTTGTAAGGAACCCTGCTCTAGACTGACGTCTTTGATGATTACACTGTGTCGTATCAAGCCACTTTGGCAGTGTGAAGTAAACTAAAGAAAGAGTCTATGCCAAGTAAACTAAATTGAGCTGAATAACTACAGTTGTCTTCTGTAGAGATGCTTTATAGCTGAATCAAATTTGTTTTATAATAGATTAATTTTGCAACATCGACACTCTTATTAGACTGAAATGAATCAACACTAAACTGACTTGAGCTGAATGATACTAACACTTGCCTTCTGTAGAGCTGCTTTATAGCTGAATTGGAAAACTTTGCAAACACTGTTATTAAACTAAAATGAGCTGAATAATGAAACTATTGTCTTTTTAGAGCTACTTTACAGCTGCAATTGTATTCATTTTATAACTGAACAACATAAATACTGTTATTTTCTTCTTACTGTGAATCTGCTTTGAAACAATATTAGATAAATGAGATGACTCAAGGTCACACAGAACACATTCTTGCATTTAAAATCGCGAAGCTGTGCAGCGAAATTTGTAATTTATGTTTTTATAAAGTTGAAATTTTATTCACTCACACAGCGTCTTGAAAAAGTGAAAATGTGAGACACTTAAAAACATCAAAAACGCTTGTTGCATATTTACATGAAAAAAAAACTGTATATGCCACTGCAGACAAAATTCTTTTGGTTTTTACTTGTGTTTGAAGTAGCACTCAGTATTGAAGCTGGGGAAATGCTATTCTTTAGCACTTATCCCTCAAAGGCCAGGAAGTCTTGCAGACGTTTCTCTTTTTTTCATATTAAACTGGGCTGAGAAAGGGCAACAGTTAATTATTTATCATCATGGGTGGAACTTAAACCAGAATGTGGTCTTCAGTGCTCAAAGAAAGGCCTGCATCTGTTGTTGCCATTCTATGAATGCTTTGAACTTAACAGGCTGCTAGAGAGGAGTGTGTGAAATCTGATATTGTGTTCATTTCGACACTATCAGAACAGCACATAGATGATACAAAACACACTCCCACTATCTTTGAACAGACTCTATTTGTATGGAGGATTTTGATATCAAGACCATTCATTACGTTTGATCACTTGTCTTATCACAAGCTGTTCTTCTTTGAGGCAAAGCATGGCATGAAAATTTAATTATGCTTATCGGTCTCAACAGTACTCAGTAACACAAATGTAATCTTTTAATACAGAGTGCGGAAAGTTTAAGACCAAGTGAAACTGTGCAAAATTGTGTCAAACAGCCCAAAACAATTCTAATTGGCTCAGCCTGTGTTGGGCCGCTCAAACAAACAGAGCAATATTAAAAGTGCCACATTGTTTACGCTCTTCAGGACTGGAAACTTAAGTTTCAACATTTTAAAATGACTCACTGCACATTTAAGGTCCTGCACAAATTAGGCTGACATTCCTCTGAGTTACCACGGCACAGGCTGTCAGAGTATGTCTAACTGAAGGTTACTTGGAGCCATCTGATTCATCCAGGTCATATGGTGCTTCACGAGTGGATGAGTAGAGCTATGCTTTATACACCTTACAGCTGACATTCCAGATCAGAAAGCTGAACTCAGCCAAATGAACCCATTAACCTCAAGTCAACAAGATAAACCTGCTAGAACAATGAGAAGCCCTCCAGGAATCTCACAGGCATCACATTTAGGCTGTAGTGCTATAGTCTTACATCTTATAGTGAGACATTATTTTACTTATGAATGTATTGTTTACACATTAATTGCCAGTAAAATGGTTCGTCTAAAATCATCCATTGTTTAAATTTAATCAGCCCAACTGAGTGGTGTTGTTGCTCTAACAAGATGTCAAAATTTCATATACAGTGTATATTTGGAGACTCCTTTATATAAGTTATATATTGCGACAACTTCATATATAAAATCAACCAAGCAAAATGTATATAATTTTATAATAAATATATACAAATCCAATCTCCAAATTGATTGCCATAGGTGATATACATTAACATATAGCATATATATTCAGTCAGAATTTGAACCCCATTGTATATTTGGTGTTGTTAGATGAATTTACTGAGTGGAAATTCCTTATGCACAACAACCACCAGTTAAAGGGTTAGTTCACCCAAAAATGAAAAGCTGTCATTAATTACTCACCTTCATGTCATTCCAAACCCGTAAGACCTTTGTTTATCTTCGGAACCCAAATTAAGATATTTTTGATGAAATCTGAGAGCTCTCTGACCCTCCATAGACTGCAAGGATATTACCACGATCAAGGCTCAGAAACGTAGCAAGGGCATCGGAAAAATAGTCCATGTGACATCAGGGGTTCAACCGTAATTTTACGAAGCTATGAGAATACTTTTTGTGTGCAAAGAAAACAATAATATCATAATTTATTCAACAATTCTTCTCCCTGAGTTACCATCTTCTGCCATTTTAGAGAGTACCCCAGAACGTAATCAATGTTGTTTACGTTCAGCTTGTGCGCACTGTCTACTGAACGTAAACGACACAGATTACGTAAACGATTACGTTGAGATTCCATCAAAAATATCTTCATTTGTGTTCCGAAGATGAACGAAGGTCTTACGGGTTTGGAACGACATGAGGGTGAGTAATTAATGACAGAATTTTCATTTTTGGGTGAACCATCCCTTTAATGGTACAAACTTGTTTCAAAATACCAATTATGTGGACAATTTGATACAGAACTTGTAGTTATTCATCATGCACTTAAAAATAGAGGTTCTTTACTGGCATCAATGGTTCCACCTTGAACATCCTTGGAAACAAATGCACTGCACAAAAGGGTCTTTATAGCAGTAAAAGGTTCTTCAGATTCTTAAAATATTTTTCATACAAAGGAAAAAAAAAATCTTTTAAGAGTTGTTCACTCATATGATCTTTGAGGAACCCAAAATGGCTCTTTTATTGCATCACTATGAAAACCCCCTTTTGGAACCTTTATTTTTAAGAGTGTATAGTGTATCTACTGTCTACTATAGTGTAGCAGGTTTATCATGTATTTCTCTGAAACTGAAACATCAAACGTTTTTACGATTGTCTTTTGTTTTTATTCCAGCATATACCCAAATTCAGACCCATCAGCTGCTCCAGCAGCACAAGCAGCAGTTTGTGATACAGCAGCAGCCTCAGATACTGCAGAGAGGTCAAGCACAGCTCTTAGAGGCCGCCACCATTCATCCTCACACAGTGCAAGCTGTAGCCATTCAGCCTGCCCTGCCAGCTCAGCCTCAGCAGTGCCCTATCTCTCTGCTGCCCAAAGTGCCTGTTACCTGCCAACAAGCTCCCATCTTCCATTCTACTACTGTGAGTCAGAATGGACAGCCACCCATGCTGAGCCACAGCAAAGCAGCACCTCTACAGCTTACTGCAGTTAATGTCCAGATCCAGCCAGTTCAAACTCAAGTAAGTGGATTGAACATCATTTATTTGTCTGTTTCTTGATTTGTATGTATCCTAATTTTCTCCTATTTCGACCTTGTCCTGTTCTGACATTAATTCCTGCTGGATGTGTCCGATAAGGACACCCTTGTTCCTCTCGAACCGCAGCTGCTATCCATACCAACACAAGTGCCAACCCAGACAGAACAATGCCAATCGGTCAAACAATTTCAACAAAGCCAAGTGACAGAAAACACAGAAGGTACTGATAATTTAATTACGTGTTTCATCTCAATGACTTCCATTTATTTAGTTTGTTGGATAAAAAAGGTTATTGCATTTTGTTTAATGTAAGCAATCCCTGCAAGCATTTTCTGCGTTTTGATGAACACATACAGTATATAAGCCAATATTGGCTCCTTCTGTTTTAATGTAACCATTAACTTGGATGAATATATTTAGTACTGTACATCAAAGCCACAATAAAAACAGCTTCAGCAGATGAAAATCGAACTTTTGAATAATTATTTTAAATACTAGGGTGCGGATAATGGGGGTTTTTGGGAGTCTGTTTCAATTATTTAAAAAACTAGACATAAGACTGCATATTTTTAGGTGAATTTATGGATCTATGGAATTAGTGGAAATGTATAATACATAACAGCCAGCTGTTGATGTTAAAAGCTTGATTAAAAATGACACTAATATAGATTATAAAATATGTTATTTTATGTAGTTGTTTATCATGCACTATACACTATAGTGTACACTGTAAAATTATTTTTTAAAGTTGTAAATAAAACAAAGATTAGTGGAGTATGTTTTACAAGAAAATACTATTTCAGTCATTCTACTTTAAAATGTCATGTTTAATTCAGTATTGTGTGTTTCTTTGTAATTATTTGTGAAATTTACCAACAATTTCTGAGTGAAAATTATTTCTACACCAATTTTGTTCAGTGTAGCTCCTTTATCATACTCTGTTTCTCTGAAACTCAATTGAGAATGCCACATCAACATTAAATACTTTTATCTTAAACACTATTAATTATAGATTTACAATATATCACTCTATAAAATACAATATGATAAACCTCTGAAAAAAGGCATGAAATATTGAAACTATTTTGGTCACATCCAGCTACTGACTGCAAAAGCAAGAGGAAAGACTCCTGCAGCAATCTTGACCTAGCCAGACACAGAGTGCCTACTACTACGTCACCACCATCTGTAGGTTTGCCAGTCTCAAAAACACAAAGGCCAACAACGTGAGCTCTCCCCTCAAGCGGAAGAGTAGATCTGTCACACCCCCAGTGTCTATTGTCTGGTCGCTGCACTTGCGAGAGTGTGACAGCTTCTGCTATAATTAGGGGTGAGGGTCTGAGCTCCGTTGTTCTGGGTTGGACATGAGAATAAAGGTGGACACACTCTGGCTGTCTGGCAGGTGTGTCGGAGGCCTAACCTCAGACGTTAAATTATGAATGATGATAAACTGCTCTTTTATGAATGGAAATGGCTTGAGGCATCAGAGCACTTGAATCATAAATCATGTCAGGTTTTTAATTGTATCATGCTGGCTTCAGATCATTTCGCTTGATATGGATCATGGTGCATTCATAAAAGTTTTAACGTGTCTTTTGTTTTAGATCAAACACATGTTTTTCATGTGTGGGATTAAAAAGCATATACTTTAATTGTGTATTTCAATGCTAATATACATGTCTCACAGAATTGATCACTGAGCGAGATAACTCTTCTTTTTAAAGCAGACAGCAAAAAAGCTTACAAAAGATATGTTGTAATAATATAATTTATTATCAATAGAACTGAGATTCTATTAACGTTACTGGAAGAATGTATGTTCATGATTTTGAGAAAACTTTTGCAATTTCAATTCTTTTTTCAATTCTGAGAATGTCCCATGTTAGCTGGAAAAAAACTGCTTGCAATATATAAAAGGTAATAGCTCCAGACATTGACATTGCAGTGCGAGACAAGCCTGGGTTTAGCTTACGATACTTAGACTCCATTGTGTTCGACTCCAAGCTGCTGAGTGTGGCACATGAGTGGTGTTGTATATCATACGAGCGATAGACTCACTATACATGCACCCTGGGTCTTCCTTTGTCCCTGAGGAACCCAAGACCCCTCTTATCGAAATATTTGTGTCTGCTCTCAATAGGATATAATCTTGCAACTAATGCAGGGTAGACCTAAAAAAAATATATAAAATATTGTTTTTCAGTTGATGTTTTGGACATCGACAATAGTGTAGATTAATTAGTTACTCAGAGAACTTTATAAACTTTATAATATTTTATTTTCTAATGTTTAATTCACAAGGGGGAGTTTTAATGCATGTTTATACTATAAACAACAGTCTGCAATCATAAGCAAGTTTTGCATTCATAAAATAGTATAATTCTCTCTGAAGTCCGTGTGAACCAGAAATTGTGACCGACTTCAGTATTGTGACGTATTTCCCAGTGAAACTGAATATTGCATGAGAGAAGAATAGAGGACGGGGCTTGATTTTAGTGCAATCTCTAGCTCACAGCAGACTTACGGTTGGAGAGGAGTGGTTACATTTTCCGATTCTGACCAAAGATTACGAAGGCAAACTAATTTTTTCATGTGGATTCATTTGCATGGATCAGTTGTTCAAAACTACTAATGTGCTCTGTTCCACTGGTACAAAGAATTGGCATAGGCTTAGGACCCTACATGAATAAACTAACAATTAAATACATGAAAATTTTGATCTAGACCTGGCTATATTATTGGTATACTAGTATCACTATACTGTATATATACTGCCTAATATAAGAAATGTTTCAAGTAGTATGCTACACTTTGTCAAATTACCTTATTTTATACATTTCAACTTTGACAGTCTAATAAAGTAATGTTTCAAGAAACCGATTATTTAAATGTAGATACTGCTGCTTCCTGTTCATTCATCACACTATAAATGAGAAAGTAAAGTCGAACGTACTGCAATGTGGCATTCCATGTTGCTAAAATAGTATGAGTAGTATGCTATTCCAAAGATAGCAATGGAGTACTACATGCTCTTTCTCTGCTTACGTGCGCCTCTGTCATGGAGCGGCTCACAAGTTTTAACCAATCGCGGAACGGCTCTGTGCTAAACACGACCTGCTATTGGACAGAATTCCAAGCGTGTGGGACCAATCGCAGCTGTGCGATGTTTCCTATTCAGTTCCCACATACAAAGAGGATTAGAGAGGGAATCGGTTAGAACAAGCAAATCCACTCACACAAAAAAGTTTGGATCATTTGTTGTACTGCTTTGTATATAACACCAGTGGATTGTGGAAGTGTGCTCGGAAGCGTTGGAATGCTAAATTCATTGTAGTGTTTTCCTCTTCTGGCGCTTTAAAGTGTAAGTAAAGAGTGCGTGAGCGGAACAAAGGCGTGTGCTGTTGACAATCACCAGGACGTCTGTGCGTGAGCGTTTGTCTGCAGTGTGAAACCCTGCCAAATGTTCGAGATATAAAGTTACAAAGTTCCTCCGTGCTTGTTCTGGGACGCAGGGGTGCGACTGGTCTTTAAGATGCCGAGATGTTGTTTGCATGCGAGTGTGAGTGTTTTGAACCGTTTCGAGGAAGCATGGGAATAGTGCTGCTACAGTACAAGCGTAAAATTGGGCAGTTTTTCAAAACGGGTAGTTAGTGCTAAAAGAAAACTTCTGGTTTTGATCTGGACCTTTTTTTAGATAGTAGCAATAATAGTCGTGTTAGCTCTTCATAAATCAGTTTGCTGTGTGCAGACATTACAGATCAGATAGAAATAAGCAAGTGGTTGCAGCAGGTGGCTTGAATACGTTTTATTCACATGCATATATACTATAACACAACTGTATGCGAGAGTAGTTTATAAATGTATCGTGGTTATACATATTACAGTGTGCGTTAACTCCAACCTTTCACATATTTCATAAAAGCACTAACTTAGGTGACCTATGAGAGTGTCATGGAATAACGTGAATGAATTGTTCTGAGTCGGATCTTTTCGATGAATCAGTAGAACCGGTTCATTAACGCGTTCTAAACGACTTGTGAGCACGAACAGCATCGAAGCGTTTGGTGCGCTTCTCTAATAACCAATAATGAATAAAGTAAAGCATACTGTAAATGTTTATTACGCGATTGTATGACAGTTTTATCAACACATGCGAAATGGGGTTAGCTTTATTGAATACAATTTTAATAAAACGTAGTTATGTATTCGCAAAGTAATGTAAATGAACGTAACTGTTTTAAGGTGCAAATCTTTTCTAAGTGACTACATTATCGCAACAACAAACTGAAATTAGACACGAAATCACTATATACACACTTATTAAAACTTAACAGAACGTAGTAAAATATACCCATATGGCTTTTAGAACGGTGTTAAAATGCCATGGCGAGATGTCCCGGGGCACATTATGACGTAATTACGTAAAATTGTAACTGAACCGAATCTTTGAAACAAGCTGTTCTAAAGAACCGATTCGCGGAAATTACTCGGACTTGCCGTCAGTATTATGGTGTTTCTGATAGATACTGTTGTGCTTGTGTTGAGCAGGCAGAGTGAATGTGAAGGCAGGTGTGGGTTCACCTCCAGCAATGACCTCGGGCAGCAGCAACAATGCGCCCACGGTGACCGGCAGCGCTCCGCAAAATGGCGAGAGTAAACCGCCGCCACAGGCGGTAGTGAAGCCCCAGATCCTAACGCATGTCATCGAGGGATTCGTGATTCAGGAGGGTGCTGAGCCTTTTCCAGTGAGTGCTTTTAATTTCAATCCATCCCGCCTGGGTATTTAAGTTGCTGTTTTCTGTTTCTTGTTCTTGCATAATAATTTATAATAGGCTGTATTTAGTTAAAACTATTGTGTTTTAACTATTTATTTAAGAGTTTTTATTATTATTATTATTATTATAGTTAGATAATTGTCAATTGTGAATGATTTGTGTTAGAAACAACAATTACAGCTGCTCTATTTGTAATAAAATAACAAAAGCCTAAATATTAAAGTTATTGTTACAATAGTAAATTGTACATTTAAAATGTAAAATGTGCGTTGTACATTTTTAGGTATTTTAAACATGTCCAAGTTAAGTCACTCTGCTTGCTAGTAACATTTTGACATAAGGTTGGAGCTGATTTTGTCATTTACTCACCACTTGTGACTAAACCCATAAGATTGACTTTTTTCTGTGGAATACAAGGAGAAGTTTTGAATAATGTGCTGATCGTTCCTTCTGCACTTAATTACAATGAATGAGGACTCAAGTTGTCAAGCTTAAAAAAAAAAAACCTTTGTCAAATAATATTGCAAAAATAATTGGAATGTAGCGTTTTATGGTCAACTTTAACAATACCTTTGTGTTACCTTTTGTCATTTTGGAGTTTGACAGCCCTAGTCCTCATACAACAGTATTTTTAAATATAAATTCTGTCTTCCACAGAAATAAAGTCACATGGGTTTTGGGTAAACTATTGCTTCAAAACAAATTAAACCAATTTTTAAGTGTTTTTTTTTTTAAAGAGGCACACTTCCCTCTAGTGGACAGTATACCACAGTCATAACCTACATCTGCAGACTTTAGTACAAGTTTAAAACACAGTGAGCAAGCACATATCCCATACATAGGTTCATTTGAGCATGCAGTACATGTCCTTGTGTAATAAATAATGTTTTTATGCAACACCTTGTGGATCTATCCAGGTTGAACGTCCGTCCTTGTTGATTGAGAATTTAAAGAAGCAGAAGCAGCATCAGACTTATTCAGACCTAGATAAGAGGTCTCAGACCTTTCAAAATGCCGACTCTGAGATGGAGGATCTTTCACAGCAAGGTAAGGGTTACTTTAAGGCTGAAATACACCACATGACTTTTGCCACGATTTAGAGCTAGTCTGCCGATGAGTTGACAGATTCCACAGAAAACTGCATAGTGATGATGGGCACAGACTCATAATTCCATTTAGTTGGATGATAACAAACATGTTTGATAGTTTTACATTTTCAACTGTCATGTGTTTACAACAATCTAATGTTTTGGTGTGAGTTTGTATTTGGATTGAAAATCTGCTAGTGTGTGATCCACAGTTGTTTAGTGTCTGATGCCTACATTTTCTGTGTAACCATTTAGAAAGTCACCAAATATATGATGCCTAGTGGTTTAAAATCTGTTCCGATTGTGTAGTGTATTTAAGCCTTTAGTTGCACACTTGATGCTCAGACTGTTGTCCAATCAGCCATGTAAATTCTTTCATAGAGCTGAATAATCAGAATGCCGAGCCAATGCTGTCATGTGAATTCTGTGGGACCGTAGACTTCGCATATAACTTCAAGAGATCCAAGAGGTTTTGTTCTACGGTGTGTGCAAAGAGGTATGTGGATCCTTCTGTAGCCTGTAAATTATTTTAGATTTTGTATCAACATTTGCTTGAGTGGTGGTTTGACTTGTTCTTCTTCTCTTCCAGGTATAATGTTGGATGCACAAAGCGGATGGGACTTTTCCCAAGAAAATCGACCTCAGAGAACCCAAAGAAACAGAAAGCCTCCGACGCCAATCATCATAACAGCAGCACGGATGTCAGGAAACGGGTAATTGCTGTTTCTTCCTGTCTCGTTGCTTTCTCCCATTTGGTTTGTCTATGCAGAAATGTGCTTACTTGTCGCCCTTGTGTTCTCTCATAGAATCCAAGTGCTCAAACAACCATGGCCGCGTCTTTGTTATCCCCACACCCCTCTCATCCAAGTCACGGTGAGTCCAGCCAGTGCTCAGACATGTCCAGCTTCGAAGAGCCCATTTCGCCACTGTCCTACTCCAGCTTTGGAGCCCAAAGGCTTCAGAACGAGGAAAGATTCGATCACAGTGGAGAGCTCCCTCTCCTGATGCAGCACTTCCTGGCCAGCGACCCCACCAAGTGGAACGTCGAGGACGTCTATGAATTCATCTGCTCTCTGCCAGGTAGCTACTAATGTTCCTAGGCTTTTTTGTGTCACAAATGACTTAAGTCACTAACAATCTGTCTTTTGCACCAGGCTGCCAGGAGATCGCTGAAGAGTTTCGCTCTCAGGAGATCGATGGCCAAGCCTTGATGCTCCTCAAAGAGGATCATCTCATGAGCACCATGAACATCAAACTGGGCCCAGCTCTGAAAATCTTTGCACGCATCAGTATGCTCAAGGACTCGTAGCCTTTCCCACACCCTTATCTAGCTTGGAAAGGACATCCTAACAGCTCTGCACTGGTTTCCTCATCCCGTTGTGTCTTTGGGTCCTGCTGCTCCTCAAAACCACAAACTTGTGTGTAGTTCTCGTCACAGTCAAATGGTTTCGTTCCAAATGCATGATGATGTGACTTGATTACGAATTTCTCGTGTATTCAGCTGTGCCAGGCCTGGGAGGAGTACTTTACCATTTGTGCAAACAAATGTTCATCATATGGTAGCATGGAAACAGGTTTACATTTTCTTCAGTTTTGAACTGGACTTTGTGATTTGTCTGTCATAAAGTGACATTGTTGTAGTTCTGTCACAGTTTGTTTAGCTAAGGAAAAATTTTGTACCTTTAGCCTTGCAGTGTACCAACATTTGTAGGTAGTAGTAAACTGTTCAGGTTTCTTCATCTCACAGGATGTTCCTCAATACAATTACAACAGATTTTGTACTCAAATGAAGCATTCTGACACAGGGATAAAGGGAATTAAAACTTTGACTCTAAGACGTGCCTAATATTTTATAAATAGCCCAAAGATTACACAAATGTTCATGGTTTTTAGTTCAAATGAAAGCAGCCTTTCCAAAACCCATTTCGCAGCATTAATGTTTAAGGACTGCCAGTAATATCACTCTATATTTAAGTTCAGAACCCATCCTGGTATGATCTGATGAACTGGGATCATTTTTCATAAATCACTGTTATCCCAACCATCAATGTGTGCACTCATGTTTGGAAAGGTAGTGCAGCTTGTGTCTCAATTTTTACATTCATCATTTGATCAGATTTCTGTATTTATTGAGAGCAAGTCTCTGATTCTGTTTTATATTTGAAAATAAAACTCAGAAAACACTGTAGATGTCAGATGATTGTTTTTCCAATTAATCAAAACCTCAGATCCTCGTATCATAGAGCAAGTAGATAAAAGATTATTTTATTTCTAACTCTGGACTGTTAAAAAAAGTGGTTAAAACTGATTATTGGATGTCTTCCCAAACTTCATTCACTAGGCCTGCGTCCCAATGTGCACACTATCCATCCTAAATTCTATGTGATATTAGTAATTTTCAATACTATTTAGGGCAGATAGGGTGGATAGTATGCACATTGGGACGAAGCGTAGATCTGTAACTAGCTGCAGTAGCATTGCTGTTAATTGTGCGTTTACAAAGAAAATCGCGTAGTGTATTATGGTCACAGACACCGATTTTTTTATGTAGCTTCAGACTATGATTCCATCCATTCAGAGGAGGCTGGAATACATTACATTACGTTTTGACCCGATTTTCGCCGTTTTACAGTCTGGAGAATTTGATGCTAGTTGCCAAAAGTCAGAGCCAGTCTGCGGATTTGAGTTGACAGATTTCATAGAAAATCGCGTAGAGTATGATGATCTAAGACTCCGATTTTCAGCTTCAGACTGATTCTCTCTAGTCGGAGGATATCGTGCGTCTCCTAAGCATGAGTTTGTGCATAATACGTTTCTGCATTAGTTTGCGTTTAGAACAACATTAAAATCTGTTGTGTATGGTCCTCAGTCCTGTGTGAAGGCCAATTTTTCCTCTGTGACGGTAAGTGTATAATGTCCATGTTCTTAAATCTGTTAAGATTTTAAAAGTAGTGTAGTGTATTCCAGCCTTAAGTATCATTGTAACTCATTTTTTTATTCATTTCAACAAATTGTCAAGCTCACAACTCGGAAACGGTTTCCAATTCGACTTCGTGGTGGTGTCCATGTGTTTGAACGTACCAGACGCTGCACTGCCACATAACGAGGTCGGTCAGAATTATAGTTTTATGTAATTTACACTGATACTAGATTTAGAGAGCAGTTTACACAAAAATGAATCCCCTTACCTGTCCAACAAAACGATGACCCTTGGGTATCACCAGTAAGGATGTTGCCACGTGCGGATGTTAACGCGGCTCGTTTTTTTCTTTTGGCTTCTGCCCTTTTTAATTCGCCCTGTCTCATCAGCATCGTAAATTCTCGAAAGTGTTTTATATATATATTATAAAAAAAAGTTTGAATGTATGTACACTTATAATACTACACTTTGTATTATATCACATTTGCATCAAATTACAAAAAAAAACAAAAACTAGTTAACGCTAATGCAAGGGTGTTTCTAATGCAGCGTCTATGGGAGTGACGGTAAATTTGACATCGTTCTCTCTTCTGACTGCCGTTATCAGTCTCTCATTTTTTTCCTTTGATTGAAAGTCATGAAAACACTATCGTTGAGTTTTTTCTTTCGCTAATTGAGCAAAGGAAATTCACTGCTCTCTAAGTTTACCCAACTATCATGACTTCCGCTGCTGAGAAACCCGAAAAATGTGAAAAAGGTCCATAAATTTGTTCCATTGTCTAATTTTCGCTCTTGGCATCACCAAACTAGGCTATGCTACGCCTACGGATGTGGCAGCCAATGAGCGTGCGGATTTATACCGCGGGTCACGTTATTTCAATATGGCGAAATACAATGATGGGGCGACCCGCAACATACACTATTAATCAAAGAAAACTATTTTGAATGAATGGACATTCAGTTGAGTCTAAACAAAAACGATTTCTTTTTCTCAATGTGTAAAAAACATTAAATTAGCACAAAACTAATGAACGCACCTTTAAAAGATGCTGTGGGAAATCAATCATAAAATGTCCAAACTACCTGACTGTAGGCCTATTTATTGAAACAAGGTTCTTGAATCGCTGTAACAGTTTTGGACTCAAACACAAAAAAGTAAATTATTTGCCTTCTACAAGTTGAAATCAGCTGGAATCAAACATCAACCATAGTTGCCATGTGCATTAATTCAATGCATTAATTATCATGAACAATGAACAACACTTTAATTTTGACATTTAAGGTGGTATGAATTAACATTGATCATAACATTAAATATGAATTAATGAACAATAGTGCATTTATAACTGAAAAAGTGTTTTAGTTCATGATACCTAGTGCATTAAATAATGTTAACAAATCTTATTGTAAAGCATTACCATTTGTTCCCTTTTTTGCAATTATTTACTTACATATACACTACCTTTTCTACCTTTTACTTTCTTTTTTGTATTAAAAGTAGTACTTATATTCAGCAAGGGTGCATTAATAATCAAAATATCTTTTGATCTGTCTAAATAATTAAAGAATCCTAAAAAGAAGTATTTTGGTTTCCGCTAAAATATTAATCAGCACAACCATTTTCAACATTGACAATAGTAAAAAAAAAAATTCTGGTGCAACAAATCAGCATATAAAGATGATTTCTGAAGGATTATGTGATTGGAGTAATGATGCTGAAAATTCAGGAATCACAGGAATAAATTACATTTTAAAATGTATTAACAGAAAAGTTATTTAAATAATTGTATTATATCACAATATTACTGTTGTTACTGTATGTATGATCAAATAAATGCAGCCTTGGTAAGAATAAGAGACTTCTTTCAGAAAAACTAAAAAACAAATTCTTAAACTTTTGAACATTAGTGTATTGTCACACAAAACCAGCAAGGCTTCACTGACAACACTGTAGAAAATTCACACCATCACCACGGTTTTGTACTTTTATTAATCTTTTTTGTCTTTAATTTATTTACAAGCTTTAAATTTGCTCTATCAGTATGAAGAATAACAAGCACTTTAGGTTCAGCAACATCTCCTTTAGTGGTTTTGTACACGCCACCATCTGCTCGTTGATGTCCATTCTGAGCTCTCGTCATGTGATCCCAGCAGTCCCCTGAATGCATAGTTCCTGCAAGTTTCTGCCAGATTAAATGTTTCACAAAGAGCAAGCTAAAGCAGAGGAACATTTGGTATGGTTATTGAGATAATAACCTTGAACAATGTACTAAACACTTCAGTACTGATGTACTAAACGCAGAGCAGGTCTTCTCTGTGCTCATCCAACAAAAAAGTTTTTCAACAATTGGAAAATCATGGAACTTGTTTAATCATTGTTATTGTCATTATATTAATAATAAAATTATCATTGCTATTTCTCTATCCGCCGATAACTGCTCGTTGTGTCTGTCCGCAAATGTTAAATACCCTTTTGTTTATGCTGTTCTTAAAAAAAATAAATTAACGAGTCTGAACTTGTTTCATTTCATTGTTGCAGGTTTGTATTTTTAAAGTCCTCTTAAAAAGTAACAAAAGAAAAAAGAAAAAACTTAACTGCAACATTTCTATAAATAATAAATTTTTTTAGTGCTCCAGCAATTTGTAGGATCGCTGTATGTCAGTGAACCATACCATTCCAAATCTTGCTGCACTCCATCCATCCTGATGCATAATGTGTTGCTTGTTATGTTACATTTTAATTTGATGCAGTTATTGTTTCAGCGACTATTGTCTCTTCAGAACTAGTTGGCAAATGTGTCCATTTGTCCCCTCGTCAATTGTCCTCTGATTCCTCCTCTGCCTCGCGCAGCCACGTGAAGAAGGCAGTGACTGACTTCAGGGCCACACCTTTGCCTTGCTGTTCAGCGGGGTCTTTACTGACCTCCCACTTATAAAAAGCATCTTCAGATATCACATCCTCATCATACAAGCAGTCAAAGAACATCCGAAGCAAATCTGCAAAAATGTTAAGAAAATAAAATGATTTTAATCTCATGGTGATCACTCAAAATATCAACATTAAAAAAAAAAATAGCATCCATTGTAGAATAGTGTTTATAACACAAATATTCCATGGGTTGTGTGTCTAAATGGGAATGTGAAAGGTTTTACTCACTAGCAGGCTGGTCCAGTTTTACGATCAATACTTGAAGTGCGTAAAGTGCTTGCAACTGTCTCTCTGTGTCCGAGTTAAAGTACTTGTGTAATACAGGCAATCTCCTCTGGATTATGGACAAGTCCACTTTGTATGAGGAGCCCTCAGCTGCAGACAGAAAACACAAGATTGGAGTATTTGACATTTTGGCATTTGAAACTGTACCACATAGAGTGCTAAAATTTGCATAACTGTATGTCCACTACTATCCAATTACTAACAACTGTTATTTGGTGAATCATCTCCCAAAATAGTTTCCATAGTGTTCATTTTATAGTATAAAGATATTTTTTATTATATAAATATACATAATAGTGCTGTCAATCGATTAAAAAAACTAATTGATCACACTTTTTCTGAAATTAATCGCGATTAATCCCACCTAACAATAAAGTTTTTAAATATACTTTTATATTGTAATAATTCAATCTTCGCATTCAATCTTCAAATTAATGTACAAACAACAAAGACTGTATATTTTTAATGTTTAATGCCATCTTTTTATGACTGAAGGCCAGTATCACTGATACCAACACTACTGATGTCTCTATACAATTGTGTCCCCTAATATTTAACCATTGACTATAGCCATTCAACATTATAGTATAATTGAGAGCTATCAATTTGAACATTTATTAGACTCTTAAAAAAAAAACTTCTAATTTAAGTGAACTTAACACATCTTCACATAAACCCATTATAATAAATGTCATATTTAGCTACCTGTGCCCTTCAGCAGAAATATACAGAAATTGAATAAAGTTATCAAACACTACATTCTAAATTAAATATACCGTATTGGCCCGAATATAAGACGACCCTGATTATAAGACGACCCCCCTTTTTCCAGATGTACCTTTTGGAAAAAGGGAACCCCTTAAAGCTATAAAAGTTATTGATTACCTCTTTTTACATTTTCTTTTTTTTGTTCTCTTTGATTAACAGACATCACAGCAGCCGGGTTATTAGGTTATTTGGCTGCTATTGCTTTAAGAGCTGCCGCTGTTGAACATGACGCAGATCTGACATGCATCGTATTTTTTCTCAACTCTCTTTACCTTTTCTGA